TCAGGTAGATTGGTTACTTTTATAGTTACTATGTGAGATATTACTGTATTTTTCGCTCTATAGGATCCACTTTTTCCCTTCTAAAAAGTAAGGGGAAATGTGTGTGTGTCTTATGGGGCGAATGCAGGCTGCGCGGCTAAGCCCAAAGCCAGAACAGGGAGACGGAGCGCTGCGCAGCGCTCCGTCTTGCTGTTCTAGCTTGGGGTTAGCTGTGCAAAGCCTTCGAAGGGCAGTGGGGTGAAGGCACCCTCCTGCTCTGCGGAGGCTTCAAAGGCTGTCCCCAAAGCCAGAATAGCAAGGGGCTATCCCAGAAGCCAGATCCCTCTTGCTGTTTTGGCTTATGGGGTTCAGAATTTTTTTCTTCTTGTTTCCTCCCCCCCAAACTAGGTGCGTCTTAGCGTCCAGTGCATCCTATAGAACGAAAAATACGGTATTTCTTTGTAGAAAAGACTGAGGGAATCTGAATCTCAATTCCTGCTCTGCATGCAGGAATGCACAACAGGGATCTCAGTTCCTCAGTTCTTTTACCTGTGAAATGGGAAGGACAAAGTTCATTAGCCCTTTTCACACTGATAACTGCTAATTGTATTAGCAAGCCCCACTGGTTTTGTGACATTTCATCAAAGCATGCTTGTTCTGTTTCTCCACCTTTATATCTTTGCATATGAGGATGGAAGTACAATTATTTCACCTGCTGACTGTTAGCAGCAGTGATGGGGCTAAAGGGGCACAAAAAGGAGGGCTCTGCTGTCTCTGCTGCCACCATGCACTCCTGACCTCAGGAAAAGGGAAATGTGTAAGCATTGGGCTCTGTGCTGGCACCTGGGCTTTGGCACATGTCCAACTGGACCACTGACACTGGGGCTAACTGATGCAGTTACTGCATTAGCAGTTAACCCAGCTAATTTAGAGAGCCAGTGTGGTGTAGTGGTTAAGAGCGGTAGTCTCGTAATCTGGGGGACCGGGTTCGCGTCTCCGCTCCTCCACATGCAGCTGCTGGGTGACCTTGGGCCAGTCACACTTCTTTGAAGTCTCTCAGCCCCCTCACCTCACAGAGTGTTTGTTGTGGGGGAGGAAGAGAAAGGAAAATGTTAGCCACTTTGAGACTCCTTAAAGGGAGTGAAAGGCGGGATATCAAATCCAAACTCTTCTTCTGAGAGAGCCAGTGTGGTGTAGTGGTTAAGAGCAGTGGACTTGTAATCTGGTGAACCGGGTTCGATTCCCTGCTCCTCCACATGCAGCTGCTGGGTGACTTGGTCACACTTCTCTTAAGTCTCTCAGCCCCACTCACCTCACAGAGTGTTTGTTGTGGGGGAGGAAGGGAAAGGAGATTGTGAGCCGCTTTGAGACTCCTTCGGGTAGTGATAAAGCGGGATATCAAATCCAAAATCCAATTTGAAAGATGACATTTTCAAGGCTTTTTATTGCTATCTTCCAGTAGATGGTGCCATCTACTGGAAACTGGGTGAAAGCGTAATGACGGTAGAATTCACAAGTCAGTAAAGGGGCTCGTGCAGATCCTTTAAAAAAAAAGAAAGAATGAAATTAAGCACTCAACCTGATTTGCTTGCACAAAATTTATGTGGAGGTTAGATGATGCCAACTCTATTTAGCATTCATCCTGATTTGCTTCTGGGTTCCACCATCAGTAATTTACACTATACTTTTTAGTGCATTGCCCTGTCACTCCCCTAACTGCAAATAAGTCCTTTAAAAAGTGGATTTGTTGCACCAGAGTGCTTTAATTCTGCTTTAATTGGGCAAACTGACACGGTCAGCATGCAACTGAATCGCTCCTGCAAAACACTGACCACAGTCCCTTCCTCTCCGAATTGGCCTGCCAATCATGATGGAAACTTATCGCTTTTTCCCTCCTGCTTTTGGCTTACGCCAATGACTTCAGGAGCTTGTCTTCACTCTTATTTCTCCCATGACTGAGATTTCCCAAGCAAAAGCATTAGCAATCAGAATAAGTGTTGCAAAATCTGAACTGTTACATAAAAACAAAACACCTTGAAGGAGCTCACTGCCCTTGCTTGTGAATTAACCTACATGCAGGGAGCGGCCTTCACGCCTCACAGTGGGGTGATGTTCCTCCAGCCTCATGAGGAGCCTCTTCAGTAGGACTGGTGAGAGTGGGCCTCACCCTCCTAGGCCAGGTGGAAAGGGCCTTGTGGGGAGCAGGCCTTCACACTCACAGCCAGGCAATTTTATTTCATACCACACCATATGGCAGCCATTTTTTGCCATCCACCATGGCAGCCATTTTGTGTTTTGCTATGTTCTCATTTTAGGGACGCGGGTGGCGCTGTGGGTAAAAGCCTCAGCGCCTAGGGCTTGCCGATCGAAAGGTTGGCGGTTCGAATCCCCGCGGCGGTGTGCGCTCCCGTTGCTCGGTCCCAGCGCCTGCCAACCTAGCAGTTTGAAAGCACCCCCGGGTGCAAGTAGATAAATAGGTACCGCTTACCAGCGGGAAGGTAAACGGCGTTTCCGTGTGCGGCTCTGGCTCGCCAGAGCAGCGATGTCACGCTGGCCACGTGACCCGGAAGTGTCTCCGGACAGCGCTGGCCCCGGCCTCTTAGAGTGAGATGGGCGCACAACCCTAGAGTCTGTCAAGACTGGCCCGTACGGGCAGGGGTACCTTTACCTTTACCCTTTTATGTTCTCATTGGTAGCCAATTGGTGGACTGGCCCATGTAGCACTTTCCCAAAATTGGTCTGGCTCAATCTAAGGCAGCTTCCTCTGTTCTTATCATATGAAATACCCCACTTTGTATATTAATAGGAGCACAGGATGTTCTGCATATATATCCTAAAAGGGGGGGGGGCGAATCTCATGAGCGATATGTCCAAATGTGTTTTTACACTTGGGGGGCTGCTGCATCGCTTGTTCCTGAACCTTTTCTTCCTCCCAAATGCCCTGAAGATCCATTGCACACCTTGACTTGCATGAAACCTCCTCTCTCTTATTTTCTCAGGGAACCAGACTGGGAGAAGGAGGAATGAAGGAAAACAGAAATCCGGCCTGAGAACGGAGGTCCCTGTCAAGAGAATGGCCAAGATCTCCTCAGGTGAGGATGAAAGGGGAGGCAGGGAAAAGCAAAGAGCCCCTGAAAACATCCCCCCACTCGGGAAGAACTTGTCGGCCAAACCCCTGCACGGAAGTGTATCTGCAGGAAGACGGTCAGCACTTTTCTATTGGATGGGTGTCACTGAGCAGAGTTTTCAATGGAGATGGTGTATCCGGATTAAGTGGGGGAAACAGAACGGGAGAGCATTTGGGTGTGGATGATGTCATGCAGATACAGAACTGGACTTGCGTATTTGACGGGGTGAGCTCCCGTTGCTCGGTCCCTGCTCCTGCCAACCTAGCAGTTCCAAACCACGTCAAAGTGCAAGTAGATAAATAGGTACCGCTCCGGCGGTACGGTAAACGGCATTTCTGTGCGCTGCGCTGGTTTTGCCAGAAGCGGCTTAGTCTTGCTGGCCACATGACCCGGAAAAATTGTCTGCGGACCAACGTCAGCTCCCTCGGCCAGTAAAGCCAATGAGTGGCGCAACCCCAGAGCCGTGACTGGACTTAACTGTCAGGGGTCCTTTACCTTTACCTTTTTAAAAGCACTGCACACTGCCATGCGATGTGAAAGTGCTTCATCTTATCAATGGTCACAACTCCTGAAATGAATGGATGGCTCCAATGCTCCATTTGCTGCCTTCCTTCAAACATTAACATTTGTGTATGTTCTAAGATGTTTCAAATAGTCAAAAAGATGGCAGTTTTTAATTCCTCTGAATTTGATATCTACTTTAGATTTTTAAAGGCTGGCTCCCAAAGTTATTTCAGGTGAAATAGATGGATTTAGGCCCATTGCTTGGCCAAATGTTAATCACACACACACACACTTCAGTGGAAACTGCATGCAGCTGAGCAGCTCACATTCGGAGCATCAACACAGAAAGGAACAGGAAGGAAGCAACACAAATATTTTGACTGAAGTGTCTTAGGAAAGCGATTTTAAATCATGGGCACCTAGGTTCTGAAAATGGTGTTGCCCGTATTGGTGTGAGTGATGGGGTCCCAAGGCACAAATTCCATGAGGTCCCAGTGCAAAGGAAAAGAGCTAAGATCTTCTCCCTTACTATAACGTCCAAACAAGATGGGATGGGGAAGAAGAAGGATAGGTTTGTAAGGAGTCTTCAATAATTTTGCCAAGGAAATTCTTATGGTTCAGGGCCTCACTCTATTAGCCTTTCTTGTACATGGAGATCCTTTATGAAATGCATTCAGACCCATCAAACAAATCTGTACTGAGATACACATACTGTATCACCATTTTTACTGCTGGAACTGCTCTGAATCTGACTTCAGGAAGAACGTGTTTTAACTGCACAGTGTCCTGAAAAAGACACTCTGTGTTGGGAAAGAAGGGAAGTGAGTTCCCTCCCATTTTCCACTTTCCTGATGTTCCAAATGACCAGTACCTTGGAGTTAAGATTTGTGGTGTTGTCAGGATTCTAACTGGCCTGTAACTGACCTAAGAATTCTGCAGAGCAGTTGCTGCTGTGGCTGGCCGGCTGCTCAGGCGAACGTCAGCTCAGTAGCCAATAGCTCAGTCTTCTTGAGGCTCAGGAACACCTAGCAAATACCTGCTCTGTTCCTGGCACGCTAGACTCTAGCTGAGGAAGGCATCTCACGTAAGTTTATGGATTAAACATTCCTCACTATGCCATAGCTGAGTTTATGCTCGGTGGAACAGGATAGCTTCAGTAGCAGATAGCAGAACAGCGAAACATGAGCAGCTCCCATATTAAATCAGTAGCAGTTTGCTGGAAGAAAGTATGTGTGGATCAGATGTCTATACCTAACCGGGGGGGGGGGGGAGAGCAGGGGAACTCTTTCTTTTGCTGCTTCTTTCTGTGCATGGAAGGATGTCCTTCAATGACTAGACCTGCTTGTTATTCCCTCTCTCACTGCATCTTGTCTTCTCTTTTGTTTCCAGGATGTCTTCCAAGGTCTCCCCTGGTCCCCTCCTCTCCAAACCCCCCCTGCGGGTGAAAGAAGGCTCCCTGGTAGTCAGATGGCTGAGATTAGTGTCCTGCCTCCGGTTGTGTGCATTCCTGATGGATATTATGGCCTGGATGATGTGCATTGCCTCAATAGCCATTGTCAACTGGCGAGTGTGGCGTGTAGAAAACATAAAGGGAATTGGCTCTGGAAACATCTGGATCGGAATCTGGCAGGTCTGTTTTTTGAAAGACCCTTTGAACGACGGAAACTATTATTACCATTGTGAAGAGCTCCATGAACAACATCCAAACCTCCCGAGGGAAATTTTTATTGCTCAGGACTTAATGGCCTTAGCTGCCATTATGAATTCAGCGGCCCTTGGATTGCAGTCATTTGCCCTCTGCAATGTGTTCGAGCCCAGAAAACATAAGGATTTTCTCTCAACCTTTTTTGGGCTTGGAGCTCTGCTGAACTTACCAGCAGGGATACTCATCCTGATTTCCGTGATATGGAACATGTCTGCTGTCTTACAAAATGGGGGAATTGACTTCCCTGAAACTTTTGAATTGCCTCAAATTCCCAGCGAGCAGCATATTGGACCTTCTATTTATCTAGGCTATATCGCTGCAGGTTTCCAGCTGCTGAGTGCAGCATTTGTTGGGATGGAGAGATGTTGCATCAGGACCACCACAACAGATACATCTCAAATAGAAACTGTAGTGGTGATTACCCCAGGAAGCGCGGTGAAAAGCGAGAGTCTTACTACTTGTTCAAAGTGTGGTTCTCTGCTGGACCTGGTAATTCAAGAGAAATCCTCTGCAGTGGAGATGGAGGAAACCCATGCGGAAGATCTTGTCAAATCCTGCGCAGTTGAGATGGAGGAAGGTTGTGCAAGTGATCTTGTCACTCCAGAGGAATCCTGCACAGTTGAGATGGAGGAAAGCTGTGCAAGTGATCTTGTCATTCCAGAGGAATCCTGCACAGTTGAGATGAAGGAAGGCTGTGCAAGTGATCTTGTCATTCCAGAGGAATCCTGCACAGTTGAGATGGAAGAAAGCTGTGCAAGTGATCTTGTCATTCCAGAGGAATCCTGCACAGTTGAGATGGAGGAAAGCTGTGCAAGTGATCTTGTCATTCCAGAGGAATCCTGCACAGTTGAGATGGAGGAAAGCTGTGCAAGTGATCTTGTCATTCCAGAGGAATCCTGCGCAGTGGAGATGGAGGAAAGCCATACACCCAAAGGTTACCTGAAGGACATCAAAGGCCACCTGATGTCCCCAAACATACGATTATACATGTGATTCCCTACAACAGGGAGTCGTAAACTATCAGATGCAGATCCACGCAGATCGCTCCATACATGCATAGATCTGCGTGGATCAGGACTTCAGGGATTTTGGGACTTCAGGTGGGCTTTGATGTCCTTCAGATGAGGAGGCCTCTTTTTTGTGATTTTTTTTTTTAGTATTTATTTATTTATTAAAGATTTTGTTGATTTACAAAAGTGTGCAATGTCTCTCTCTCATGTTTTTCCCCCATGTAACATTTTTACAAATAATTTTCATTTGTTGAGACATTAGGAAGGAAAGGGGAAAGAGGTGGAGGGGGGGAAGATGGGTGGGGGTGGCCTAGGGTGTGGTTATTCATTTGTAGTTGGCTGTGGTGGTCTTTGTTTTCATGTGTGAGTGGGGTGGGTGGGTGTTTTGGATCAGCAACAAATCTACTTATTCCAAGACCTCCCTTAAAGCGGTAGTGGATCACCATGAAGAAGGCGCCACCACTGAGAAGGCCTCTGCCTGGTTCCCTGTAACTTGGCTGCTCCCAGAGATGGGGGGGGGTGTCATATTTTTTCCCTTGATTTCCCCCTCTGAAAACTAGGTGCGCCCTATGGTCAGGTGTGCCCTATAGAGCGAAAAATACCGTAATAATAATTTAGTTAGACCCCGCCCATCCGGCTGGGTTTTCCCCTCTTTTAATTCTAATAGCGCATTAGAGTTCTGATATAAAAAAGGTTTCTCCTGGAATATCAGTTCTGGGAGGGGGAAGAGCTAAGTGCCTTCATGCCCTGCCTGGAAGCTTCCTTGAATCACTCGTCCGGTTTTTGTGGACATCAGTGCATTGGACTAGAATGGGCTATCGGCCTGTTTGCATGACCCTAAGTAATTGTGAGGTTGGGTAACTTGCGATCTGAACAGCAGTGCCATATCCTAGAAAGTCAAACATCTTTTCTGTGTCTGTGGAATTAAGCTTTACTTAGAATAAGATACATTCTCCCCAAATCGCAGTCTCCCTCTGTCCTCATCTGCCACAGTCCACAAAAGTCTGGGTGTCTTTTTCTGTTGACCTTGTGCTTTCCAAACAACTGGCCTCCTCCCAAACCGTAGTGCTTATATACTGGGATGGATCTCGTACACGGAAAACCACAAGAAGAATTCATTTCCGCAGCATCTGTTAACAGCCCCCCCCCAATCTCTGAAAATTCCAAAGAGCTCAATATGGTTTCCAGAACTCTGAGAAAGCTGCAGTTCTCAGCACCTTTAACAAACTACAGTTCCCAGGATTCTTGGTGGGGGCGCCTTAAAAGGTGGGGGCGCCTTAAAAGTTCACAGTCCTAAAAAGAAAGCTGGTTTAAGCAGGAATATAGGTCCCCAATTAAGGGCTGCTTCAAGCAGGAAGGTGGAGAGGCAGTGTGGCCTAGTGGTTAGACTGCCAAACTAGGACCTGGGAGGCACCGGGGCTCAAATCCCCCACTCGGCTATGAAGCCACATCTAAAAGAGCATAGAAATAAAGAAGACCGCGAAATGATACAAACATGACCCCCGCTTTGCAGCCTCCTTTGAACAGATGTGAGGAGGCTCGGTGTGCCATCCTGCCCAGGGCCGGGCGATATCTGGTTTTCAACGTCAGCCGATGAGCAGGGCTTAAATTCTGCTCAGTTGGGCGGGATTCAAAGCAAACCCCTTCCTGATTCAGAAACGGGTTTGTCTGGATCTATCTCCTGAACAGTCCCCCTTTTTTGTTTTAGCAGGGGAGTCCAGTCTCATTCAGGCAGTGGGCTGCCTTGAATTTCCTGCTGAAACCCCCAAGTTGTCCAACTCTCTTTTAGCTGAAATCCCATCTTGACTGAGGAAGGGGGTTTGCATTAGAAGTGGGATGGGCGGGGAGGGGGAATAGTTTCTAGCAGCAGTACCTCCCCAGGTGTTTTGAGGACCTATTAGTAATTGATTGATTGATTTTCTATACATACCTTTTGCAAACAGATCTTTTTAAAAAAAGAAACACAGTAAGCCACACATTTCCTGCAAATTATCCCCCATGACCATTGCAAAGCTCACAATAATAACAGTAATAGCAGCGTATTGGACCTTAACTCTGCATAGGAAGGAAACAGGGGTGGGCTGTCTAAAATAATTGTGCCCAGAAAAGGGTGGTGGTGGACAGGAGAGAGTGACCCCTCCCTTCCTCCAGCTTAATCTGCAGCTAAATTTGATGTGAAATGTGCTTTTCTTAAAAAACCAAAAAGCCAGCCACAGGGACAGTCTAAGGAACAATATTTTTTGGGGGGAGTGGGGAGATAGCTCCATTAGAGGTTCCACACTGTTAAGGAAGATTCCGGGTTGAGAGACTACTGAACAGCCCAGCTTGTCGGGGTACAGGTCTGTCCCCCCCACCCCCGCAGGTCCATGTGGTCAGTAAAAGAAGGAAATTCCAGCAAGCAAGCAATTTGGAGCAAAACAGCAGTCAGTAGACTCAGAGCTTTTATTGTTGCGCAACAGGTTCAACAGCAGCCAGTGATCCAGAGCATGGGGCCACATTGACTTTGAAAACTTTCCCACCATATGTCAGAATACAGTTTGCACAGCATCATCAATACATCATTGCCACATCACTAACATGTCACAAAAGGGGAGGGTTACACAAGATTAGCATAGACAGCTATGTCAGGGCAACACCCAAGTACAGTATAAGCTTAGCATCATAGGCAAACATGTCTTAAGTACCCACCACCCAAAGTACAACAGAACTTCCTTGGCATCTCTGGAGCCGGAGGCAAGTCTGGGGGTGAGATCTGGCTTCCCTTGGCTAACTATGAGCCCAGCAATTGTCACCTCTGGGCATTTCCTGGGGCAGGAGGTGTGTACCCATGTCTTCAAGCTTGGGGAGGTGGAAGGGGAAAGAGTCTTTTTTCCAAGGGCAAAATGGTGCTGGAATGGAAGAACTTGGCAAAGGGGTTGATTTTATAGGATTCAAAAAGCTTGGTATCTTCCCTGAGCTGTCAAGTCGAAAGGATAGGTTCAGGCATAATGTTTGTAACATTTAACAACTTTAAAGATGTGCCCCCCTCCCGTAGGTTCTGTAGGAACTGCAAATATTTTCTCCGCATTTAACTACAGTTCAGACGTAGACATATTTCCCACCCCCTTGGGTCCCATATGTTATATAGATCTGCACTTAAAAACAACCTGGTACATCACAACACTCAAGTCCCTTCCAAGCAAACCTACACTTTCAATTTTTAAAAAATATAAAATCCAAGGGTTTTGTAATTTCATTTCTGTGCACAAGAGTGTAGTCCTCATGATAAACCTTCTTTTGGGTTGCGGAATTGCGCTTAAAGCAAACACGTGCATACGCACATCCTGGGAGCTACAGGTCCCAGCACCCTTAAACTACAGTTCCCAGCTCCCTTGGCACACTGCGCTTTCCAGAGCCCCGAAGAAACTACAGTTCCCGACGCCCTTAACAAACTGTAGAGATCTGCATGGATCTGGATCTGATAGTTTGCTCTTTACGGTGGAAGGGAATCACATGGAGGCCTCTTTTACGTGTTCTCTACCATTTGTGTCCTTGTTTCCTTTAGCTTGTTCCTCGTCTGGATTTCTTTCCTATGTGTACTCATAGATTTACATTTTTTGTCAGCTCTTTCATTTCTCTGGAGGAGTGTTTATCGGTAGAGCCTTGAATAAATAGACAATTTCGGGATTTTCCCCTTTTAATATTATAGGATATCATCTTTTAATGCTATATGATATCATATTTTCATGTTATAGGATATCATGAATAGACATTCCTATTTTTTATCATTTTCTGCATACAATTGTTTTATAATTCCTAATAGATTATGTTCTATGTTTTGAAATTAACTCCAGTACGTTGGTCCATTGATCTTCATTGTATTCTTTAGTAGTATTTAATGTGATTATAGGTAGAGGAATTTAAGGATTTTGTTGTGGTTTACTATGATTATTGGCTAAATTTCCCAAACTTTTAGCTAATAAATTTGTATTAAAAAGTGATCTTGGACTCCTCAATGATATGGACCACAAGCAAACAAAGAAAAACTTGGAAGTCAAGAGATGTGGAAAAATTAATCTCAGTTCAAGATTGTGGCACTCTGCTTCCTGGGTCCATGCAACCAGCTGTTTTGGCACCACTCAATAATGACAGCCAAGACTGAGCCTGCAAGCTCTAAGGTAGCAAGGGTGCACAATTTATTGAAATTGACAAGGGCTCCAAAAAATGGGCTTCCAGGAAGCAGTTGTTCAAGAGGCAATGTCCCTAAGAGAAAAGCAGGAAGCTTCAAGGTTGGTGGAGCTTGAGAGCATTAGTCAAGTGTGGGGATGCCTTGGCGCAGAGGGTGAAATGGTGAAGTTGTAGTACAGATACCACCTTGCAGCAACAAGAAGCTGGACTTTTTGCCAGCAAAAACCACTCGTTTACAAGGGCCAAGTCACCATAAGAATTTGCGTTTGGGGGGTGTTGCGAAGGGACACAGTGCAGTGTCGTTCGGAACCAACTTACTTCAAAGCCTTCTTGATTTGTCAGCTAGCCAGGATCGACAGACGGAAAGAGCACATAGGTAGGTCCTTTGGCCCCACACCTGCCAGAGTAGTTCCCCCTGCCAACATGCTCTCATCTTTGCACTATTGCAATGCACAACCAAATATGAAATAGTGTGCAGAGCTTGGGAGAAGGGCACACGGACCAGGGCGGGAGGCAGGGAGCAACAGATCTACTTATTCCAAGACCTCCCTTAAAGCAGTAGTGGATCCCTAAATGGATTTTGCCAATGGAAGCACAGGCCCCCTAAAAGTTAAATATGGAAAATAAATGGTTGAGATACTCAGACTTACTAATTGAGGATCAGGAAGGTATTAAGTTAAAACCGTTTGATCAAATTAAAGATCAAGTGAATTGGCTTCAATATTATCAAATTAATGAATTATTTAAGATTGACAAGAAAAATGGTTTTGCAACAGAAAAAACCAAATTGGAAACGGAGTTGTTAGATACTAAAGTTAAGAATATGTCTAAAATGTCTAATTTATTTTTAGAGTGGCATACAAAGGATGAACAAGTTAAATCGGTTATGATTGATTGGGCAAGAGATGTGGGACATAATATAATGATGGAGGACTGGGAGAGGTTATGGAAGAAAGGGATCAAGTTTACCGCATGTACGATGTTAAAGGAAAATATAATGAAAATGATGTATAGATGGTACTTGACCCCTGTTAAATTAGCAAAGATTTACCATAACTATGATAATCTATGTTGGAAATGCAAAGAAAAAGAAGGAACTTTTTATCATATGTGGTTGACCCGTCCCAAGGTGAAAGACTTCTGGGAAAAGATTTAGAATGAATTGAAAAAAATAATGAAATATACATTAATAAAGAAACCAGAAGCCTTTCTTCTAGGAATAACAGGTTTGGAATTGCCCAAGAAAGATGTAAAATTATTTTTGTATACCACAACTGCTGCGCAAAATCTTACTAGCCAAGAAGTGGAAAACACAAGAACTACCAACTGTGGAAGAATGGCAAATAAAGATGATGGACTTCATGGAGCTAGCTGACCTTACTGAAAGAATCTGCGACCAGAAAGAAGAGAAATATCAAGAAGATTTGAGGAAATTTAAGGACCATTTGAATAAATATTGTAATATTAAAAATTAGAAGTTACTTGAAAGTACCTAACAGGCCTAGGATTAAATTAGGATTTATTTCAATAAATGGGATTTAGAACATTAAGAAAAGTGAAGAAATTTGATTATAACTGGAATATTGTGCTTTAATAATGATATTGGAAAACTTTTACATTCAGACAAAAAGAAACTCAGAAGGGAGGGGTTAGAGGAAGTCAAGTAATGTGTCTAGAAGATTAGATTTTTAAATAACTAAGCTTGTTTGTGTGGTTTATTTGTCTGTTGTTGTTTGTTATAGATGTATTCTTTATCTTTTTTTTTCCTTTTTCCTTTTGTAATCTTTGTTTTGGTTTGTTTTTTTGGGTTGTGCAACGTTTGTTGCAGTATGTGTTACAATTGTATAAAATATAACAAAAATTATAAAAATAAATAAATAAAGCAGTAGTTGATCACCATGAAGAAGGCGCCACCACCGAGAAGGCCTCTGCCTGGTTCCCCGTAACTTGGCTTCTCGCAGGCGTCTCCTTCGTTATTCCTTCCAGCGCCTGCTGAAAACTTTTGATTTCACCCCCCAGAGGCGCACTCCATTGCCTCTCGAAAGAGATGCCCACAACTTCCCAGGGAACTCTGGTTATGGTAGTTCTGGGAGGGTAATAGGGGGTCTCCAAACAGTTCTCAGCACTACAGCTCCCAGAATCCTTTTGGGGGAAGCGTTTCAAGGTACCATATGGCTTTTAAGTGGATGTTGGGAGTGTAACGTCAGCTGTCATGCGTTCCCCATCCACTGGATGTCAGGATTTCCTAACAAAAACCTCCAAAACAAACCACGCTCCTTTCTACCCCCTAAAAAAAGACCATCAACTGGAGAAAATGCGGTTTATCTGCTGGTATGATTGGTACAACCTGAAGCGGGTGTCGGAATTGTAGGCGAGAGAATTGTAGAACGGCAGAGTTGGAAGGGACCCCATGGGTCATCTAGTCCAACCCCCAGGAATGAGGGGATCAAGAAGGGTCAGAAGTGAGAGAATGGACCCAATATTTGTCAGAATGGACCCAATAATAATAGAAAATATACTTTTAAAAGAATAGATTTGAATGCCAGCTCATTCATTCCAGGCACATTTTTTGAAAGGGGGTGGGTGGAAAGAGTGAATTCATCACCATGGGGCTTCCAAGTCCTGGCAATTCACTGCTTGCATTTCTTTAATATTTGAAGATGCCTTCTTGCTTCAACTTTGGGTTTTTTTGTTTTTATCTTTTATACAAGATAAAAACACAAAAAATAAATAAAATAATAATAATAATAATAATAATAATAATAATAATAATAATAATAATTTAGTTAGACCCTGCCCATCCTGCTGGGTTTCCCCCTCTTTTAATTCTAATAGAGCATTAGAGTTCTGATATAAAAGAGGGAAGATAAGTTGCAGCTAAGGTTGGAAAAGGAAAAAAACATCTTAGGAAATGGGATGGGAAGCTGATAATAGAAAGGGGGGGAAACTTACTATGTAACGAATCCTGATGTGCAATTTGTGGAATAACAAAAACAACACAACAAAATACTTAATAAAAACCAGAACAGAAAGAAAGCAAACCAATCCCTACCCCTAATTAGGTATTAAAAAGGTAAAGGCAAATAGAGAATTGCAGCTGTAATCAATAAGTTAAAGAAGAACTTAAAAGAAATTGAATTGAATAATTAGTTAATTGGAGGAGTTGCTGAAGAAATGTAAAACAAGGATGCAGAAAAGGGGAGGTATGGGGAAGTCCGGGAAGTAAGGTGTATGAAAATAAGATTATGAAGTTATACATGTTTATATGTTTGTATGTCTGTGTATTGTGTATTGTTTGTTTTTATTTTGTGTTTGGAAAACCAATAAAAATTTATTAAAAAAAGAAAAAGAAAAAAGGTAAAGGTACCCCTGCCCGTTCGGGTTGTGCGCTCATCTCACTCTATAGGCCGGGAGCAGGCAGACACTTCCGGGTCACGTGGCCAGCGTGACAAAGCTGCATCTGGCGAGCCAGCGCAGCACACGGAACACCGTTTACCTTCCCGCTGGTAAGCGGTCCCTATTTATCTACTTGCACCCGGGGGTGCTTTCGAACTGCTAGGTTGGCAGGCTCTGGGACCGAACGACGGGAGCGCACCCCGCCGCGGGGATTCGAACCGCCGACCATGCGATCGGCAAGTCCTAGGCGCTGAGGTTTCACCCACAGCGCCACCCACGTCCCTACAATTAGGTATTATAAGATAATAATTATTAGATAATAATTAGGTAATATCCAGATAAAAAGCAAAAACTAAAGGACACAACTAATTCAAACCCATTCATTCCAATAGGCTTACTCTGAGTAGAATCTCACTGCATTGTCACTGCAACTCCTTGCATTGCAGTGTTTGAGTAATTTAAAAAGAGAGAGACATATTTGTTCTGAAATCCACTGGGCAGGCATGTGTTGTTGTTATTTTAAGAACCCAAATCATAATCTTTGTTTCTTTTGATTTTTGCCATCCTATATATTCTTGCCTTGCGCAATTAACTTATCCACCCATCTATTTTCATTATATAAAAATAATTTATCTCCTTAATCTCGTAAATTCCAATTATGGGTTGGTTAGTTAGTTAGTTCTGGAAATCTTGAAGCTGTGTGCAGGAGGAAGTTGGGTGGGAAAAGGGATGAGGCTCCTTTGAATGGAGAGAGAGAGAGAGAGAGAGAGAGAGAGAGAGAGAGGCACAACTGTCTCCAAAGAACCAAAAATGTCACATTTTTTCATGGGCATTTTTCTTTTTGCACAACAAGGGAGAGAAAGGAAACTTTGGCTAATCTCAGAGCCAGAGAATATGGGGCATCTGTGGCCCTCCAGCTGTTATAGACTGCAATGGGGGCAGTGTGGTTTAGTGGTTAGAGCACTGGACTGGGACTGGAGGTTTCGAATCCTTGCCCCTCCTCTGCTCCCTGCTCAGCCCTGAAACTCACCCCCGGGGACATTGGGAGGGTGGCCGTCAGTTCTCTCAGCCCAGCTTCCCTCACAGGGTCATTGTGAGGATGGCAGAGATAAGCACGTAGGCCGCCTGGAGAAAAGATGGGACATGGTCGCCCCTAACCATTGGCCCTGCTGGCTGCAAGCAGAGCGGTGGCTGGGACCCAAAATGTCACCCAGTGAGCTTTATAGCCAAGCAGAAGATTTGAACCCCAGTGCCTCCCAGATCCTAGTCTGGCAGTCTAACCACTAGGCCACACTCCCTCTCCACCTTCCTGCTTAAAGCAGCCCTTAATTGGGGACCTATATTACTGCTTAAACCAGCTTCCTTTTTAGGACTGTGAACTTCGCTTTGCAATGCTGGTAGCCGCACCGTACATTTAAGGCGCCCCCACCAGGGAACTGTAGATTGTTAAAGGTGCTGGGAACTGCAGTTTTCTCAGGGTTCTGGAAACCAAAGCCTGCCAAGGGGTCAGGGAACTGCAGTTTCTTCGGTGCTTTGGGAACAACAGTGTGCCAAGGGAGCTGGGAACTGTAGTTTAAGGGTGCTGGGACCTGTAGCTCCCGGGGTGTGCGTGTGCACCCGTTTGCTTTAAACGCATTCCCACAACCCAAAAGAAGGTTCATCTTGAGGACTACACTCTTGTGCACGGAAATGAAATTGCAAAACCCTTTTCTCTCTCTCCTTTCCCAGAGCGGAATTGGGCGACGTCCGCTTGGGGACCCAACCCTCTCCAGTGTCTGGGCCCTGATTCACAGCTTAGGAATTTGCATCTGATTGCTATTTTGTCATCCTAGGACAGGGGTCTGCAACCCACGGCTCCGGAGCCGCATGTGGCTCTTTTACACCCTTGCTCCAGGGCGGATACTAGCGAGGGGAGGAGGTGCATTGTGCGCCCCAACACTCCTCACTGTGGCGGGCGCTGTACTGGCTGTGACGTCGCATGGGGGAGGTGCGTGCGTTATTCACGCACTGTTCCGACGTCACCTTCCCGCCCGCTGTCAGATCGCGGCTCTGGAGATATATTTGTTTTAATTGTCGCAATGGTTTTGCGGCTCCCAGTTGTTGTTTTTTCTTCGGAAACAGGTCCAAGTGGCTCTTTTTGTCTTAAAGGTTGCAGACCCCTGTCCTAGGATTTGTCTCTCCAGCCTTCGGCACAGAGCGACCCAGCAGGAGGTGGAGGAGGTGGCAAGGAGCCCCAGCCAGTCGCTTGTCAAAGGAAACTTGCAGATGGGAGCCCGAGCAAGGAGGCTGCTCTGAAACCAAAGAAGGGAGGCGCAGCTTCCACACGCGCAGAACAAGGGCAAAAGGCGACAAACACGGAATAACCTCGCTGTTCCAGCCGCTGCCTTTTCAAGGTAAGACCTTCTTGATCTTTTCTTCTTTTGCAAGTTGCTAAATAAGGATGTGGGAATTGGGCGATTTTTGTGTGTGTTTTTCTTTCTCTCCCCCGCCCCCTACTCCTCCAAAGATAGCTTGTAGGGTGCGGGTGCGTAAATACGCGTGTGTGTTTGGCTAAGTCGTGCCAATATTTATTGATTTTAAATGATACTTTCTTGCAGTGGGTTAGGATTTTTGCATGCAGTGTATTTACTTAAGATAAAATACAGTGATGCCCCGCAAGACGAATGCCTCTCATGAGCGATATGTTCAAATGTGTTTTTACGCTTGGGGGCTGCTGCGTCGCTTGTTCCTGAACCTTTTCTTCCTTCCAAATGCCCTGAAGATCCATTGCACACCTTGACTTGCATGAAACCTCCTCTCTCTTGCCGTATTGACGGGGTGAGCTCCCGTTGCTTGGTCCCTGCTCCTGCCAACCTAGCAGTTCAAAACCACTTCAAAGTGCAAGTAGATAAATAGGTACCGCTCCGGCGGGAAGGTAAACGGCATTTCTATGCTGCTCTGGTTTTGCTGGAAAAATTGTCTGCGGACCAACGTCAGCCTCCCTCGGCCAGTAAAGCCAATGAGTGGCGCAACCCCAGAGCCGTGACTGGACTTAACTGTCAGGGGTCCTTTACCTTTTTAAAAGCACTGCACACTGCCATGCGATGTGAAAGTGCTTCATCTTATCAATGGTCACAACTCCTGAAATGAATGGATGGCTCCAATGCTCCTTTTGCTGCCTTCCTTCAAACATTAACATTTGTGTATGTTCTAAGATGTTTAAAATAGTCAAAAAAGATGACAGCTTTTAATTCCTCTGAATTTGATATCTAGATTTTTAAAGGCTGGCTCCCAAAGTTATTTCAGGTGAAGTAGATGGATTTAGGCCCATTGCTTGGCCAAATGTTAATCACACATACACACAAACACACACACTTCAATGGAAACTGCATGCAGCTGAGCAGCTCACATTCGGAGCATCAACACAAATCATGGACATCTAGGTTCTGAAAATGGTATTGCCTGTATTTGGTGTGAGGGATGGGGTCCCATGGCACAAATTCCATGTGGTCCCAGTGCAAAGGAAAAGAGCTAAGATCTTCTCCCTTACTATAACGTCCAAACAAGATGGGATGGGGAAGAAGAAGGATAGGTTTGTAAGGAGTCTTCAATAATTTTGCCAAGGAAATTCTTATGGTTGGGGGCCTCACTCTATTAGCCTTTCTTGTACATGGAGATCCTTTATGAAATGCATTCAGACCCATCAAACAAATCTGTACTGAGATACACATACTGTATCACCATTTTTACTGCTGGAACTGCTCTGAATCTGACTTCAGGAAGAACGCGTTTTAACTGCGCAGTGTCCTGGAATAGACACTCTGCATTGGGAAAGAAGGGAACTGAGTTCCCTCCCATTTTCCACTTTCCTGATGTTCCAAATGACCAGTACCTTGGAGTTATGATTTGTGGTGTTGTCAGGATTCTAACTGGCCTGTAACTGACCTAAGAATTCTGCAGAGCAGTTGCTGCTGTGGCTGGCCGGCTGCTCAGGCGAACGTTAGCTCAGTGGCCAACAGCTCAGTCTTATTGAGGCTCAGGAACACCTAGCAAATACCTGCTCTGTTCCTGGCACGCTAGACTCTAGCTGAGGAAGGCATTTCACGTAAGTTTGTGGATTAAACATTCCTCACTATGCCATCAGGTGTGTTTATGTTCAGTGGGAAAGGATAGCTGCAGTAAAGGTAAAGGGAGTCCTGACCATTAGCTCCAGTCGTGACTGACTCTGGGGTTGCGGCACTCATCTTGATTTATTGGCCGAGGGAGCCGGAATACAGCTTCTGGGTCATTATTAAGCTGCTTCTGGCAAACCAGAGCAGTGCACAGAAACGCCGCTTACCTTCCCGCCGGAGCGGTACCTATTTATCTACTTGCACTTTGACGTGCTTTCGAACTGCTAGGTTGGCAGGAGCAGGGACCGAGCAACAGGAGCTCACCCCGTCACGGGGATTCGAACCGCCAACCTTCTGATCGGCAAGTCCTAGGCTCTGTGGTTTAACCCACAAAACAGCGAAATCATGAGCAGCTTCCCATCCACAACAGCTTGCTGAGGTTCTGGCCATTTTCACAGGAACAATGCAACAGTAGATTAAATCAGTAGCAGTGTGCTGGAAGAAAGTATGAGTGTCGGCTTCTCTGGATCAGATGTCTCTACCTAACCAGGGGGTGGGAGAGAGCAGGAACTCTTTTCTTTTGCTGCTTCTTTCTGTGCATGGAAGGAAGAATGCAGGAGGGAGGATGTCCTTCAATGACTTGACATGCTTGTTATTCCCTCTCTCACTGCATCTTGTCTTCTCTTTTGTTTCCAGGATGTCTGCCAAGGTCTTCCCTGCTCCCCTCCTCTCCAAACCCCCCATGTGGGTGAAAGAAGGCTCCCTGGTGGTCCAATGGCTGAGCTTAGTTTCCGGCCTCCAGATATCTGCATTCCTGGTGGATATTTTGGCCTTGTCAATGTGCATTTTGTCAACACTCAGTGTCAACTGGCGAGTGTGGAGTGTGGAAAACATCGAGGGAATCGGCTCTGGAAACATCTGGATTGGAATCTGGGATGTCTGCTTTTGGAAAGACCCTTCTAATGACGGAAACTCTTTTTGGCATTGCGAAGACCTCAATGAGCAGCATCCAACCCTCCCGAAGGAAATTTTTATTGCACAGGATTTAATGGCATTAGCTTCAATTATGAATTCAGTGGCCCTGGGATTAATTTCATTTGCCTTGTACAATGTGTTCAAGCCCAGAAAACATAAGGATTTTCTCTTTCGCTTTTTTAGGCTTGGAGCTTTCCTGAACTTAGTTGCAGGGATACTCGTCCTGATTTCTGTGGTATGGAACACGTCTGCTGTCTTGCAAAATGGGGAAATTGACTTCCCTGAAACTTTTGAATTGCCTCAAATTCCCAGCGAGCAGCATATGGGACCTTCTATTTATCTAGGCTATATCGCTGCAGGTTTCCAGCTGCTGAGTGCAGCATTGGTTGGGATTGAGAGATGTTGCATCAGGACCACCACAACAGATACATCTCTAATAGAAACTGTAGTGGTGATTACCCCAGGAAGCGCGGTGAAAAGCGAGAGTCTTACTACTTGTTCGAAGTGTGGTTCTCTGCTGGATCTGGTAATTCAAGAGAAATCCTCCACAGTGGAGATAGAGGAAAGCTGTGCAAAAGATCTTGTAATTCCAGAGGAATCCTGCGCAGTGGAGATGGAGGAAAGCCGTACGCCCCAAAGCTCACCTGAAGGACATCAAAGTCCACCTGAAGTCCCAAAACATACTATTATACATGTTATACCCTACAACAGGGAGTCGTAAACTATCAGATCCAGATCAACGCAGATCGCTCCATACACGCATGGATCTGCGTGGATCATGGTTTTGATAGTTTTGTTTTGGGACTTCAGGTGGGCTTTGATGTCCTTCAGGTGAGGAGGCCCTTTTTTATGACTAGTAGTTATTTATTTATTTGTTAAAGATTTTGTTGATTTACAAAGAGGGGAAAGAGGTGGGGGGGGAGATGGGGGGGTCGGGTGGCGATTTTTCTATTTTACTTAGTATACGTAGGGTTTGGTGTCAGCATTGTTTGTGCAGGTTCTTTGCTGTCTGCTTGTAATTAATAAACCAATTAATAAACCAATATTAATTAAAATATTGACTCTGTTTGCATGCTCTCGTCCCATTTTTCAGAGCCTCCTCCAGAGCAGACCCACTAATGCCTAACCGGTGGGTCTACTCCTGTGTAGGATTCAGTTCTTGATAATTGTGCACTTGGGTCTGGGTTAAAGGCGGATCTACACGGATCCTCATGGATCCTCCACTTTTTAAAAAATAACTCCAACAAATGCAGTGTCAAATCACACCTGGAAGGCATGCCTACAGACTGGACTATCAAAAACGTGGACGCAGCACCACAAAAACATGGATTTGAGGCATGGATCCTCATGAATTCATATGATTTTTATAGTGAAACAAAATAAAAACACCATGATACTGTAGACCGCTTTTTAGTCTGTAAGCAGAACCAAAAAAATCACGCATCCACTGTTTCGTGCTGCCGAAATGGAGCAAAAACATGGTTAAAAAACACGGATCCTGATGGATCCTCATGATTTTTGCATTAGATCAGGCCAAAGTCACCATCAGATCAAATATCATGGCCATGGGCACAGTATCCACCACAAAAATCACGAATCCACGGCTTCCTGGCGACACCGTAGCCCAAAAACGTGGTTTTGAAGCACGGATCCTTCTGGATCCTCACGCTTTTTGCATTGGGCCACCCCAAACTCACCGTCAAATCACACATCATGTCCA